AGACTTGAAATTTGATCAACAACGAAAAGAATCGCAGCATATGCATGATCCATAAGAATCTATTTAGGTTGCAAATGCTAGTGAACCTCTTGTTGCTTCTTTATATGTCCCAAGGAATGACAAGTTAGTGAAATTGATGGAAACTTAATAATCCATTCTTTCCTCTGGCAAGCGAGAAAGTTATGGCTTCTAGCAGGGCTTCTGATAAGGACAAGGGTAGGGAGACTGGTCTTGCGATTCCTAGAGATCCTAGTCCAGCCCTCACCATCCCCAACATCAGGGAAAGTGGCGGGAAACATCCTCATGCGTATAGAAATCCTACCGAACAATTAAGGCACTTGCCAAAGTGAAGTTTGAAGTTTTTCGTAAGGCTCTTGAAGTTATTGAGAAATAAGCTTGCTCTAAGGAGGCTGTCAGAATTTAGTTCAACTTATTGTTAGTTTGAATTAGTCAAGATATTCTTGATCAATTAATATTTGGAGAATAGTAATCCTTTAATATTTTTTCCTTTATGATTTGATTAGTAGTATATTTTATTTTATTTTCAAGATTTAGTTAGTTTATATTTTCATTATTTGTAGGTATTAATTCGTAGCTTGTATCCTATTTAAACGTTGTGAATATGAATGAAAATTGAATGTTCGATCCCAATTCTATTTCTCATTCTTAAATCTGTATTGTTTCCTTGAGTAATAATATTTTCAGATCTATTCACACTTGTAAGTGGTAGATATTGTGTCAAGAGACTCCTTGTTTGGGAGTCTGGTTATTGACCCCTGAAGCAATTCTTTATTTTGACTCACAATTGTGTTGCCCAATCTAACACTCATGACACACATGCAAAGTTTTCATACAACCCTCGGTTCTTTGTCTTGATCGACTAGACACACATAGTGTGGCTCTCATATAAACTTCATAGTCGTACATTTTCAACCGTGCGGTGTCGTAATCTTGACACACTCATAACTTGTCTTGAGAGAAACTCAAGTCTCATTCACATTTTTTGCTCGACTTTGTTACACCTTAGGCGAGGTTCTCATTCGTCAATCAAACACAACTTATGCGAATTACAAACTTGTTTGGTCATACACGTTGCTCATGCATGCTTGTTCAATTGTTTGCAACTCCAACCGACTTGTCTCTACCTAAGCCAAGTCATCCAACTCGATCTAGACTCTACTCTAAGCCAAGGTCTCTCGTGAGCAACACCACATCTCATCGTCATCTCGATTCCCAACAACATAACTCATACATCATGATGTCATCCCATGACTTGAAAAACTTGACCATCTTGGCTTGCTTAAACTTATCCGTTGGGAATTGACCAATGTGTCGATTATCTCATTGAGACATTCGAACATCCATCTATCTAGGTTCTCATCATGCATTCAATTCTCCTGCATCCATGCTAAAGCATTTACGATATCCGTTTTGGATGAAGGGTGGATAATCTAATCTCTGACACATGGGCTAGCGCGCAATACCAGCACACTCGCGAGGTCCGATCTGTCCTTGAAAAATCTATTTTAAAGGAAGATGTCTGAGATACTCGTCTTGCAATGCTCGTCTTCACTATGACACACGTATGTGCCACAGGGTAGCTCGCTTAGACCACAAGGCCCATGGGTGGTGGAGAGTTGGTACCATGCCTTCCCCTATAGTACATTTTGAGGTATATCCAATCTATATCGAGTAGACATAATTTTGGCGAGTAGTCATACGTCCCCGTGCAGCATCGGTTGAGTATCCTATGAACACCAAATTTGTTGAGCTTTCATGTTTCATATAGACAAACTTAACTCTCAGGTAGCCCAAAAATGTTGGATTTTACCAAGCTAGAGATCTTTTGAAATAATCTAAAAATAATAATAATAATAATAATAATAAATAAAATAAATAAATTAATTAATTAAAAAAAAAAAAGAGACAGCAGCAGCTTGAAGCTGCTGCATGGAGAAAGGAGGAAGGGACCGGTGGACTTGGGAGAAAAGAGAGGAAGATGGAGGTGTGGAATGAAGGAGGGTGGTTTTGTTTTGGTGTTAGTGTTATGGATGGTGTTTGTGGTTGGCGTTGGCAAGGCCGACGAGGAAGCACCATATAATATCGAATAAACAGAGAAAGAGGGAAACAGAAAACAGAGAATGTTCTAATCCGTGTTTTCCGGTAAACCTGAAGGTTCTTTGGCGTTTGTTGTGACAACGTGCAAACCTGAGGATGGGGAGACGATTGTGAAGGCTTTTCAGCCATTAAAGCTCTGAACTTAAGCTGATTTAAGCGATTGTCGCAAAGGTAACGAAAAACTCATTTGTCCAAACTTTTAAATCTCGATATCATGGTCTATATTGCATAATAAGTTATGAAATAGGGCTTGTTAGAATCATAATAAGGAGATCTACAAAGCTGTAGAAAGAATCGAGATGAAATTCGGATTGTAGAAGTAAGATATGGCTTAGGGATACAACGGGTATTAATAGAAAAGTTGGAAAATTTCAGAAAATGCAAGGAAGAAGAAGCGTGTGCACTACACGTAGGGCACGTGAGGAGCCGTGACTGGGCGTACGACTTGTGTGTGAGACAGACACACCGAGAATGTGAGGGTGCGTGAGGGCGCGTGAGACCTCATTTTGGCTCCCGATTTGTCCCGTTCAATTCGTTTTGACCTGTTCTACCTAGATTGACCTATACTTACCTTGAAAATGGTGAAATATAGGTCTAATTGGAAGAAATTGTGTTGAAATACCCCATTAAACGTACATTCAAGAGAGAAAGGGATTCGAAACCAGGTAAGTAGCATATCGATCTTTGAACTAGTTCTTAACTTGTTTTACAACATGTGAGTATGTTGTTTACTTGATTAAGAGCTTAGTATGTTAAGATGAGCTTTGATGATATTGAATGTTTATTGTATAATGTGACTGCTTGCCTGTGATGTAAGCATGATATAAATGATTGCCAGAATGTTCTATGTGTTGAACATGATACATGTATGAAAGCATGCAGTAAATGTGAGTATGTTATGCATGTTAATGGAAAGGTTATGACTCTAGGATATACTTATTGGATGTTGAACCATGGCTTATTTATATGAGTATGATAGTCTACTAATTACCGCGGAGTTCCTGGCCAACGCGCTATGGGCTAAGTCAGGGAGCATGAGGACTCCTGACTGTTGGTATATGAGATAAACAGGCCGCCAGAGAAATTAGTAGACGGGTCGTATTTGACCGAGAGCGAGTCTTACATACGAGTCCGAAAATTCTAGATAAGCATATCAAAAGAGAGTCAGTAACCTAAGTTGGAGGTAGCTGAGATACCTCATTAATGAACCGATGACTCCAGTAAGAGAAACTAGGAGTCAATGATGAATAAAAATTAAAAACACCTGGAAATATTAGTTATGAATTTATGAAAGATAAAGTTGGCTACTTACTAGCTAATTTAATTACTCATCAAAATTATTTAACTTTTCTTTCCAGATTTAGTTGATGCAGGCCAACTGAAGACGAGGACGAGACCAGCGGGCTAGAGACTATTTGGGAATCCATGTCTGTGTCTGTTTTGTGTACTTATGCTCTCGCTATCAAGAATTTACTTTGGTCGTTTTTAGTTTTAAATAGTATTGGTTTTAAATGTTTTACCGGATGTTTTTGGAAATATTTTGAAATTTATGATTGGTTATCAGAGTTTATTATCGATGTCGGTGGTAGCTCCTGGCATCGCGTTGACGATGAGCGGGTGTTACATCTTTTTAGTATCCTTGCAAATTTTCACAAAGAAAACTAAGTTAACGAATGATTCCAACCAAGAGCGGGTTAGAAGGATGAATAACTCTTAAATCGAACTTGAAATCTACGATGGTCACTCTTAGATCCCAAGACGACTCACTTAAGAATTAGCTTGATCACGACTAATACAATGAATTGATTTTAACATCAAACCTAAAGCAAGGTTTGAAAAGAAACATAACACTCAAAGGGTTTCAATCACAATGTTTTTGTATTCCACCATATTTCAAACTTGAATATTGCATGGCTTTGAATAGACCAAAAAGATAATTCGAACCTAATGTAGTTCAACTACTAAAAACAAAATGTCTTCTAATCACTTCCCAATATTAAGTGATATTTATTGCCACTTAATTCTTTTCTTGATTTGATACTTAGATCTTTTTTGCATTGCTTCTTGTAATTGTTCTTCGAGTACATGTAAATGATCAATTGCTGGATTCATATCAGCCAGCCAAAACTCATATCAAAATCCCAACTTCAAAGGTTATGGTCTTGGGCCCTACTCAACCCTTTTCAAACTTGTCTTCGACGCTCGTGTCGCCTCGTTCTTTCAAACTTGTGTATGACTCAGTTATGCTCTATTTTTCAACAAATCAAAATGGTAGGGCTATGATTTCAAATCAGTTTTTAGAGATGAAATAAAATGAAATCTTTACCTATGCTAGTTAACCAACTTCATTAAGGTCTTTAGCTTTATGCCTAATTTTGTAGGATCTCTTCTTCGACAAACTATCACGCACAACCATTTCATTTTAGGCAGTCTCTTACATAGACATGTGTCAGACATGGATACATCCAGACACGTTTCATTGGGAGCTACATCCTTTAAGAAAACGAACATTTGTATCACTCTTGTAATTATTGAAATAGGGTAATTTGGGTTTAGCTACCTAGCATCTATAGTCGTATGTGTCAAAAAAAATTCAACAATGTCATTATTCTTTTGATAAGTGCATCTTATTTGTATCTAATTGTAACGACCGGTCTCCAACGCATCGAATCACGAATTGCTATGTGGACTCTAGGATAAAAAGACTTACAACATTTTCATTTGATAAAACGGGAGGCACAATGAAATTAATGTTATCTGATAAGCATTAAAAATCTAAATAGTTCCAAAACATAACGGGATCCGCGGAAACACAACAAAAGAAAAACAGTTACAAAATAGCATAAGTTTTTCCAAAATAAACATCAAAATGGCATTTAAAACGACATGGACATAGAGGACTCGATCTAAAGGTCTCCACTGTAGCCGCACGGCTCCACACATTCCCGCCTCCGACATTGGTCTACTTAGCACCTGAAAAATAGCAACAACATGGGATGAGTATAAAAATACTCAGTAAGCAACCTACTTGTAGGCTCTTATCGGACTTAATCCTGTTCACAGAAACTTTGGCTATATGCTCGAATCTATCTCTAGCAAAGACTACTATGGTCTCAAAAGAAGACCCCATGGATTCTCATTGATATGGATTTTCTTCCATACCTAACTATATAATGAGCTTAAATCAGTGAATTTTCCCTAGTGGTGTCTGGCCTTAACTACCTGTTCCTGAGAATCAGTAACTACCTGCACTACGCCCCGCTGGGCTGGGTCAGTAAACTACCTGTCTTACACCCCGGTCGAGTTTAGATTAGTAAAAGGCCATGGGTCTCCCCACTAGGCACCCCTAACGTGGTACTACAGTATGATACTTACTAAGGCCACCCATATCTACAATAGGTGACAACTAAAAGACGGTAGCCCATAATCTACGAAATTCATAATTCACACTATCTAGCACATAGCAAAATAGTCCAATTCACACATGGGCAATAAAGGGGCTATCCACACCCCAAAACAAAACAGCACAAAGTATCAAGGCTCACATCGTACTTATCATGCAAATCAAGAAATAACAATCTATCTCAACTTCCTTGGAAACACATAAACTCAAACGCTTATCAGAGAAATTCACAATAATGCATGCGGAAGCTATATAACCCTAACTATAATCAAGGTATAAACACTCACGTTATCAAAGTACCATAAATGAAACTAATGTTAACGAAACTCCCAAGTATAATACTAGATCATTTGCCCATACTCCAAACCGACTCCTACAAGCATTTCTTAGAACTTGCTCCATGCGGTTACTTACCTGTTGTAGACTTTTCGAGCTTGTTTTGGGTCTTCAATAAATTTCTAATTCGTTCAAAGATCTACAATTAGGTCCTACATTGAGAAAATATATCAAAACTATAGAAGTTGAGTAGGATTCGAGTTAAAAATAGTCCAAATTTACGAGCATTGGCCTCTGAACCGAGGGTCATGCATACCTTCGAGCCTAGTTTTGGGTAGTGGATCAGAATCTGCTAATTGGGTCGGGTTGGGTCCAACGGTTCGTTAAATCCAACGTTCAGCTCCTTCCTTCCAGCGACCTTCCTTTCCTTCTTCAGCTCCTTCGACTCTTACCAATGTTCCCTTTTCTTTTTCCTTCTTATTTCAAAAACAGCTTGGTTCAACCCCTCCCTCATATTTATTGGCCTTTCACCAACAAGATTTAAAGAGAAGATTTTGGGTAGGTGGCAGACCTACCCACTGCCTTTTCATATTTCTGCCTCATATTTCTGTCTTTTCATATTCCATATATAATTTTTTTTTCTTAATTAGTACAACTGGCTTTTCTTCATTTAATGCCAGCGGTACGAGTTATTACACTAATATCTTCTGTTTGTCAACTGGCTTTTCTGGCTTTTCTTCATTCAATACATGATCAACCTGCGAGTTAGGGGTTTTCTCAACAAGCCTCAGGCTCCATCTCTACTACGAACGCAAATAAAGCTGGTTTCTTCATCAAAATTGTTGATCTGATTTCAAAAAATTTGAAGTTTCCTCCTCCTAATTCATGGCCTTTTTGAACTTTTCTAGTTTCCTCCTCTTAATTCATAGCCTATTTGAGCTTTTCTCTCCTTATCTTAAAAAAAAAAAATAAAATAAATAAATAAATAAATAAATAAATAAATAAATAAAGTGTATAAACTCCCTATAAATCTAATGGCGTAGGTTTCAAGAGATGTAGGGAAAGACTATTCGTGAACCGTAAGGGAAGTCAATCCTCAACTCCTTTGCCTCGATTCCCTTGCCTTCGAGGACTCTATCTTAACGTCTATCTTAATGACCGGTAAAAGCCCTCTTTCTAGGATATGTCACTCCTCGGGCAGGGTCGAAGACATGAAACCTTAAGAGGAGGTGAATGAAATGCAATTGTGAAACCGACAGGTTCCGGAGCTCAGCAGTTCAACCGACAGGTTCAGTCGCTTCGCGGATTTTGGTTTATTATTAGGGATTTTAGGTCTTTATTGGACAACAGGGAGTTTTGAATTTCGGGATTTATTTAAAATATTCAATAACTTGATTATTTTCGATCAAGCCAACCTTTGGTTGGCTTGATCAGAAGCATTAGAGCTTTAGGTTTCTTCAACAAACTTATTTTCATTTACAATAAGTTTCATCCAAAGAAATTAAGTAGAGAGAAAGAGAAAGGTACTAAATTGCTTATCAAAATTCAATTCTCCATTTGTGAAAAAGAAGTGGTTATCAGCCTTCCTAAAAAAATATTCCTTATAGTTATAGAGAATAAATTGTATAAGTTTGTCCTTCTAATTTCGTTGAATCGAAATTTTAAAATCTTAAAAATTTCTTAACAATTGAAACTTGAATGAATACTTCTATTCTAGTGGGTTTCTCGAGTTGCTTTCTTTAAGAAAGTTATAGAATGGGTCTCTGAGGTGTAGTATGGCGGAAATATTTTGAGAAAATCTTAAGTTTTTATCCAAAAAATTATTGGCTTCTTGAAATTTTGAGCTTCTTATACAAATTTCTCAAAGCAATGAAATAGAGAACACCTAGCTATACCCCTAAAAAATTAAAATTTAAAAATACAGATAGAATCTTAATTTTAGAGAAGGAAAATATATGGAATTCACAAAAATAAAAAAATGAAACATGAATACGAGAAATAAATATGATACCACATAGATATGGGAGATGACAATGACGCATTTATCAAAAATATATATATTTTCTAAATAATCTATCAATTTTATATTAGAAAAAAATTCAAAATAAATAAGTTTATATTATTTGTATACTTAAAAAAGTTTAATGTACATCTCACTCTCAAAATATATTCAAAGTCAAGTGTCCAATACGAAAGGTTGGATTATAAATGTCTAACATATCTATTATACTAACAAGTGTTCAATACATGTTCAACACATGTCGATTAGGGACACAAGAATAAATTATTTTGATGCTTTCTTTACACTCATTCAAAGTTGTTTAATATTGTCAAATATTACGATTCACTAACTACCACTTTAATTTTGTTCTTTAAAGTGTCCTTTAAACCAAAGGAACGAAAATGGGAATAAATAAAATATATATATATGAGAAAGGGAATTAAAAGCCTTAAACTTTTGTGCATGATTTCAAAGATGGGACACGAAAATAAGTTATTCTCATGCTTTTTTACCTCGATCAAAGTGTGTTTGATAAGTTTCAAGAATTAAGGGTTTTCTCTCTAGGACCCTTCTTAAAATTGTATCAACGGGTGCCAATTACTTATTTGTTATTAAATACTTTTTATTACTTTTTTTCTTGAAATTGGATAAAATCCAGGCTATATCTCAAAAGTTTCAACTTTTAAAGTTATTTTTGCGATTCTAACCTTTTAAAGGGATGTTTTTCCATTATCAAATTTTGAAAGCTATTTTTCTAAATAAATTTTTTAATATTTTTTATCCCACACAAATCTAGAACTTGATCCCTATGACACTTCCAACACGTTAAAGTAAAAACTGTGCAACAATATTTGTGATATAAACTACAGATACAATAGGAGATGGGATATCTTAGATAGCATCTCGAGTTAGAGAAATTTTGAAAAGAAATGGGTATAACTTTCATGGGTATGTTTTAAACATAGTACTAACTCTAAGATAAATGAAACTTTTTAAAGTTTAACGACATTTTTGGAACACTGTTGAAAGTTCAACCGTATTTTCTAAACAAAGTATTAACCGTTTCCATCCACATATTTTCTAAACAAAGTATTAACAGTTTCATCCAAAATGAACCATAGAAATATTTTGTAGAGTTTTTTTAAACAATTTAAAATATTATTGAAACTTTTGAAATTTTAGAGGTAATTTGAAAACAAAGTAAAAAGTTGAGATATTTTTAGAGGTAATTTGAAAACTAGTGGTTTTAGAACAGCATGAAATAAGCTTTGACGAGTTTAGATGAAGTACGAGAATAACTTATTTTCATATCCCATCTTTGAAAATGTGTATTAAACTATGGATTTTATTTCTTTTTCTCATTCTTATATTCATTTTGATATTCGTTCCCTTCGTCATAACGCTTCCTAAAGTAACAAAGTTAAAGTCGTAGCTTTCAAACTTTCAAACTACCTTGAATGTTTGAAACATGTCACAAATAAATATAAATCTAATATTTGTTGGACACGGATCGAACACTTTAACTTAAATTGTTTTTAAATATATTAATGTATAAACTTGTTTGATTTTGAATTTCTTTCTAATATAAAATTATTAAACCTTTTATTATATATATATATATATATATTACTTATAATATTTATATTCACTCCGTGACAAGGAAGTTAGGTGATACACTAATATCCATAATTAAGAGTTGAATTTGACAATTTTTAAAGAAAAAAAAAATATAGATAGATAGATAACTATGTGATTATTTTATTGAGGTCTATGCCATTTTAATAGCTAAGAGACCATAATGCCCCATATATAGTGAGAGAGGGCATAGTGTAAACAGAGAGAGCAATCTAATGCTCCTTGAAATCCTTGAGGACATCCTCAAAGGAATAGAGACGGTGATCTGGCCTGCGCAAAACAAAGTAATCAAGTTTTGCAATATAGGACCAAGGAATACCATCATCATTTATAACTTCTATCACAAGAATATAAAATTTGGGATCGGGTATACTTGGATCGAACAGACCATTCACCACACGCTTGTAAACAAAATGATGTCCACCCCACTCGTTATTCCTTCCCACTGCAAACTTTCCAGCATTTTGCACATGTTCGTCATTGACATCCTTAATTGGAACTAGATTTGATGGCAACACTTTTTCACAACTCATTCTAACACCTTTGATAGATAGCTCCGACAAACTTACTTTGCTCATAAATACTTTAGAGTTCGATATTTATAGTTGTGGCTGAACTCTACTGAAACTGATATAGCCGAATCTTACAACAAAGACTAATTGAGCATTCCCCTATTAGAAGATAGCTTCGAATCAAATTCTTTAATTAAGATGATGGATGCATTGTTTTAGTCAAACAACCGAGACTAGTGTATTACCAATAGTACAAACATTTTTTTTCCGTGTATTTTCTTACATTATTAATAGTTGAATACAATTAAAGTTAAATTCTCTGAAATAAGGTTTAACACAAGAGTTACACTTTTATTTTTTTTTTATTTTTTATTTTGTTTAGTTTTTGCTTCAAATACTAACAATTTTTTCTTAAAAACTTAAAAATTCCTTAAAAGCTAATTTTTCTGTAATGGAAAAATAAAAAGCGGGTTAAAACTTGCGAATCTGAACAAAACAGCTTATTATTTATTGAATATTTTATTTTAAAAGTATTAATGTAATATCTTTATTTTTTAATTTATAAAAAGTATTGGTAAAAACCTAAGAAAAAGTTCAATTCCCTATATGTTCGTTTTCCTTGGTCATTGAGAAGTTTTATAGTTTATCAAACTTGTCCTCTCAACCATGTACCGAAGCAAAGTTGGACATTAAAATTTCTTACGAAGAATACAAAGTTGATAAGGGTTACTTTTGTTTCGACATATTTTGATCGTGGGCCATATTCAACACTCTTGCCATGGTCACATCCCTTTACGATGGTAATGTGAGCTTGTGTACCACAATATTCCTCATCATTGCCATGGGCCATATTCAACACTCTTGCCATGGTCACATCCCTTTACGATGGTAATGTGAGCTTGTGTACCACAATATTCCTCATCATTGCCATGGGCCATATTCAACACTCTTGCCATGGTCACATCCCTTTACGATGGTAATGTGAGCTTGTGTACCACAATATTCCTCATCATTGCCATGGGCCATATTCAACACTCTTGCCATGGTCACATCCCTTTACGATGGTAATGTGAGCTTGTGTACCACAATATTCCTCATCATTGCCATGGGCCATATTCAACACTCTTGCCATGGTCACATCCCTTTACGATGGTAATGTGAGCTTGTGTACCACAATATTCCTCATCATTGCCATGGGCCATATTCAACACTCTTGCCATGGTCACATCCCTTTACGATGGTAATGTGAGCTTGTGTACCACAATATTCCTCATCATTGCCATGGGCCATATTCAACACTCTTGCCATGGTCACATCCCTTTACGATGGTAATGTGAGCTTGTGTACCACAATATTCCTCATCATTGCCATGGGCCATATTCAACACTCTTGCCATGGTCACATCCCTTTACGATGGTAATGTGAGCTTGTGTACCACAATATTCCTCATCATTGCCATAACCCTTTCTAGAAGTAAGGTCTAGAAAGCTTGTAACTCAGCCCCGTGTTGGCACTACACTTTGATAAACTTCTCAACTGGCCATCTTCATGTTACAAATGTTGCACTAACACTACTCGAGCGAGTGTTGGAATTAACAATCTTATGAAGTCATCCACCTCAGGAACTAATTGTATATTTTTAAACTGTGCGGTGTTGTGATCTTGACACATTCCCGACTTTATTACACCTTAGACGAGTAGGTGGAGCTGATGGAGAAAAGTAAGTCCGCTGGAGCTATCTATCAATTCTATATTTATAGTTGTGCTTTAGATTTATGTCGTCAACCTCACGTATCAAGCACAACCACTTCATTTTAGGCTGAATCTACTAGATAGACATGCGTGAGATATGATACATCTAGACACGTTCTTTTGGGAGCTACATCCTTTAGAAAAACGAATATCTGGATCACTCTTGTAGCTATAGAAACCAGGTAATTTAGGTTTAGCTACCTAACATCTATATATTGAATTGTTGTATGTGTCTAGCACAATTTCTTTTTCAAGTTCTTAGTATGCAATAAATTAATTATTATTATTTATTTATTATTATTATTATTTTTAATAACCAAAGGCTCGAATAGCTTAGTTGGTTAGAGTGTGTGGCCCTTAACCACAAGGGTGAAAGTTCAAGCCCTTCTTCTAGCGTTCCACATATCTAGAGTCGTCACTAACGTCTCATGTATACCTCTAATGCAGAATAGAAGTCTAAGAATGCTCGTTCATTTCATGTTCATCTCTAATGCAGAATAAAAATCTTTCTTATATTCATTTTCATCTTCGTTCCCTTCGTCAAAATGCTTCCTTAAGTAACCAAATTAAAATTGTAGCTTTCGAACTTGAACGTGTGTAAAGAAAACATTATTATAATTTATTCTTCTAATTTCCATGTTCGAAACATGTCAAACACGTATAAATATAAATCCAACATTTGTTGAACACGTATCGAACACTTTACTTAAATTATTTAGGTGGTACCTTAATATTTATATTAAAATTGTAGCTTTCGAACTTTCAAACTACCTTGAACGTGTGTAAAGAAAACATTATTATAATTTATTCTAATTTCCATGTTCGAAACATGTCAAACACGTATAAATATAAATCCAACATTTGTTGAACACGTATCGAACACTTTACTTAAATTATTTAGGTGGTACCTTAATATTTATAATTAAGGGTTTGAATTTGACCATTTTTTAAGAAAAAAGAGATAAGTATATATAATAGATAGATAACTATGTGATTATTTTATTGAGGTCTATGCTATTTTAATAGCTAAGAGACCATAATGCCCCCATATATAGTGAGAGAGGGCGTAGTGTAAACAGAGAGAGCAATCTAATGCTTGTTGAAATTCTTGAGGACATCCTCAAAGGAATAGAGAATGTGACCTGGATGTATTGTTTTAGTCAAACAACCGAGACTAGTGTATTACCATTAGTACAAACATTTTTTTTCGTGTATTTTCTTACATATTAATAGTTGAATACAATTAAAGTTATTTTTTTTTCGTGTATTTTCTTATTATTTATTGAATATTTTATTTCAAAAGTATTAATGTAATATCTTCATTTTTTAATTTATAAAAAGTATTGGAAAAAACCTAAGAAAAAGTTCAATTCCCTGTATGTCCATTTTCCTTGGTCGTTAAGAAGTTTATAGTTTATCAAACTTGTCCTCTCAACCATGTACGAAAGAAGAAGCAAAGTTGGACATTAAAATTTCTTAGGAAGAATACAAAGTTGATAAGGGTTGCCTTTGTTTCGACATATTTTGATCGTGGGCCATATTCAACACTCTTGCCATGGTCACATCCCTTTACGATGGTAATGTGAGCTTGTGTACCACAATATTCCTATCATTGCCATAACCCTTTCTAGAAGTAAGGTCTAGAAAGCTTGTAACTCAGCCCCGTGTTGGCACTACACTTTAATAAACTTCTCAACTGGCCACCTTCATGTTACAAATGTTGCACTAACACTACTCGAGCGAGTGTTGGAATTGACAATCTTATGAAGTCATCCACCTCAGGAACTAATTGTATATTTTTAAACCATGCGGTGTCGTGATCTTGACAAATTCCCAACTAGTCTTGATTGAAACACAAGCCTCATTCACATTTTTTGCCCAACTCTATTAGACCTTAGACGAGTAGGTGGAGCCGATGGAGAAAAGTAAGTCCGTTGGAGCTATCTATCAATTTGATATTTGTAGTTGTGCTTTAGATTTATGTCGTCAACCTCACGGTATCAAGCACAACCACTTCATTTTAGGTTGAATCTACTAGATAGACATGCGTGAGATATGATACATCTAGACACGTTCCTTTGGGAGCTACATCCTTTAAAAAAACGAACATCTGGATCAATCTTGTAACTATAGAAACCACGTAATTTAGGTTTAACTACCTAACATCTATATATTGAATAGTTGTGTGTCTAGCATAATTTATGTGCGAAAAAAAATTCAACAATGTCGTTGTTCTTTTTGCAAGTTCTTAGTATGCATTAAATTATTATTATTATTATTATTATTACTATTTTATTTTTATTTTTATTTTATTTTATTATTATTCTTTTTTTTTAAAAAAAATTGAACGCTGGAATAGCTCAGTTGGTTAGAGCATGTGGCTGTTAACCACAAGGTCGAAGGTCCAAGCCCTTCTTTTTGACAATTCTAACCTCAAGGTTTCATGTCAATAATAAATCTTGAAACTCGACCAGAATCGACCCTAGCGTTCCTTTCAACTTTTGACAATTCTAACCTCAAGGTTTCATGTCAATAATAAATCTCGAAACTCGACCAAAACCAAATAACTCACCCTACTTAACCTTGCTCTTATTTGAATCACAAAGTAAACCTCTCTATGACCTCCCGAATAGGTTTCATGCATCTCTACTATCGAACACAATTAGAGCTCCCTTAGTAGTAACCTCTAATATACCATATACCACAGACCCTAAATAGGTTAGGTCCCATTCCTTTATACTTAGTAGACCCCCATTCTTCCGGCCAACCCATATGATCATAATCGACTACACGGGTTCAAATATAAAAAAATATATAGTAAGACAAAGGCTAAGGCTCACTAAACATGTGTATATTACTCTAGGTCACAAGGATCACTAAACATGTGTATATTACTCTAGGTCACATAGTATAAAATCTAACAATAGATTATGAGCATACACGATAATTCAACCACCTAAAACATGCCCTCCTTAAAATCAAAATTGGATCAATCTTCTTATAACATTCATATCAAAATTAGAGTCACAGAAGTCCTTAAACATGCATAGTAGCAAAGATCAGGGTAATAGAGAAGGAAGGTAGACGCTTCAAAATTAGGGCAATGACTATATTATGAGAAAACAGCAAGAGAGAGAGGGTTCGTGGTGGCTATGAAGAAGAGATGAACAATAAAGGAAGAAGAGGGCAGAAACTGAGAATGCAGGCGCTGGAGTGTATTTTATACGAAAAAAGGAAGAGAGGGACGAAGATGGAGTGTTGTCTGCGCCTTGGGGACTAGTTTGCTATCAAGGAAATGAGCACGAGTTAGAATATTTCGAGCATATTTTGCAACTCAAGTTTGCGTTTGTGACTTCGAAGGAGCAATAGGGGGAGCCGATGGAGAAGTAATCAGCATCATAGCAGGTGGTGAAGTTCTCATGGAAGGAAAGGGAGCCACGCCCCCCAGAGCAAGGGACGAAGACAATGTTGTAGTCGGAAGAGTAGCTACAATGGGCAAAGGAACAAATTTTGGTGAGGAGGCTGGCGAAAACTTGGGTGGCGAAGAGGCCAATGTGACACTTAGGGCATGGCCCAAAGAGTAGGCAATTAAAGCGACACGGACGAAAAAGACAAATGCAGAAAAGGAAGCCATAGTCATGAAGAATGCGAAGAGATGAAAGAAGAAGATGAAAAATTGAAGATGGGAAAGTTTTAGTTGCCGAGGTTAAGGATGAAGAGGTTTCTGGTTCAAGGCAAGATCGATTGTGTTGGAGAAAGTGAGGTTGTATGTATAGAGTATGGCTAAGGGTGGGCTTGTGATGATTTAGAGGCCAAAAGGGTGGAGTCGAAGAATAATCAATTGGTTCAGTCTGTGGTAGCCATGGAGACAGCCCCTGCGGCGTCAATGCCAGCAACGGTGGTGGAGAAGAAGATGAATAGAGGATTCAGAAGCCATTAAAAATAAAGGATCGGGGTTGCTAAACCGAAAGGGCTCTGATACCATGAGAATATTTGCTAAGACCGCCGCAACTAAATGTGGTGAAAGTTCTCTATTTATGATCAATTAGAGAATCAAATAAATGACATAGGATATGAGAACAAATAAATGGATACAAGATATTTGCCTATAATAAAAGGCAAATATGATACCTCTATGGGAAGCAATAAATGGATACAAAATATTTGCCTATATTAAAAGGCAAATATGATACCTCTGTTAAACCGTAATAGAAGGAAAATATCTATATATTTACTTATAATAAATGATCAAATATGGTACCTATGATAAACCGTAATCAGAACAAAATATCCTTGACCCCTGGCTTTCCAAACTCTGTATCTCTCAAAATTTCTTAGACAGATCTTAAACTGAGTAAGAGTTAAAAACCAAAATGAATTTCACGATAACAAATCTAGAAGAATCCACATAATTCAAAAGTTGAAGTTGGTTCATTAAAAAGAAGGATGTGGTAGTTAAACTAAATCAGTCACGTCATCATCTTTTACCTCCAACCAAGGAGAAGATGCTAGCACGTGGTCAAATAACTTTGAAACTTGAGTTTACCTGCATGTTCTAGTGGCTATATAGGTTGGTTTCTTCATTAAAATTGTTGACCTGACATCAATGAAACCTCTAGATGCACTCATCATGAATTATAATTCAATGTATAGAGAGTTATCGATTGAGGAAGACAACTTACTTGCAACTCGAATTTCAAAATATTTGAAGTTTCCTTCTCTTGATTCATGGCCATTTTGAGCTTTTCTCTCCTCTACGAAAAAAAATGTCGATAATAATAGTTTCTTAGGTTCGGTCAAGTAAACCTCTTGATCGGAAGCTTTAGAGCTCTAGGTTTCTTCAACAGACATGTTTCTTTCAATTACATAAAAATGTTGAAATAAGATTCATCCCACCAAATTAAGTATATAGAAAGAATTTTTCCATTTTTAGAAATCTACCAAATTGCTTATCCAAATTTTTGGAGCATCAGCCTTCAACTCCATTAAAATATATATATATGCTCTGTCTAGTTGTAGAAAATAAATGGTATAAGTTTAACATTCTAATTTCCTCGACATGGGTCGAGTAAAAAATTCAAAATCTTAAAATTTCTTACCAATTGGGATTGGAATGAATACTTCTATACTAGTGGGTTTCTCGAGTTGCTTTCTTTAAGAAAGTTAGAAAATCTTCCTCTAAAACTTGGGACAAGAATGAGCCTTTGAGGTGTACTATAGTGAAAAAATTTTGAAAAAATTTTAGGTTCTTATTCGAAAAATTGCTAGTTCCTTCTTGAAATTATGAGCTTCCTTTCCAAATTGCCCTAAGTAGTGAAGTAGAGAACACGTAACTATGCCCCACAAAAATCAAAATTGAATATGTATTATAGAGGGACGAACAAAAATGGATTTAA